AGTGATGTCTGTATACCTTAAACACAGTGATGTCTGTATACCTTAAACACAGTGATGTCTGTATACCTTAAACACAGTGAGTCTGTATACCCTATACACAGTGATGTCTGTATACCCTATACACAGTGATGTCTGTATACCCTATACACAGTGATGTCTGTATACCCTATACACAGTGATGTCTGTATACCCTATACACAGTGATGTCTGTATACCTTAAACACAGTGATGTCTGTATACCTTAAACACAGTGATGTCTGTATACCTTAAACACAGTGATGTCGGTATACCTTAAACACAGTGATGTCGGTATACCTTAAACACAGTGATGTCGGTATACCTAAAACACAGTGATGTCTTTATACCTTAAACACAGTGATGTCGGTATAGCTTAAACACAGTGATGTCTGTATACCTTAAACACAGTGATGTCTGTATACCTTATACACAGTGATGTCTGTATACCTTCTACACAGTGATGTCTGTATACCTTCTACACAGTGATGTCTGTATACCTTCTACACAGTGATGTCTGTATACCTTCTACACAGTGATGTCTGTATACCTTCTACACAGTGATGTCTGTATACCTTCTACACAGTGATGTCTGTATACCTTCTACACAGTGATGTCTGTATACCTTCTACACAGTGATGTCTGTATACCTTCTACACAGTGATGTCTGTATACCTTCTACACAGTGATGTCTGTATACCTTCTACACAGTGATGTCTGTATACCTTCTACACAGTGATGTCTGTATACCTTCTACACAGTGATGTCTGTATACCTTCTACACAGTGATGTCTGTATACATTCTACACAGTGATGTCTGTATACCTTCTACACAGTGATGTCTGTATACCTTTTACACAGTGATGTCTGTATACCTTCTACACAGTGATGTCTGTATACCTTCTACACAGTGATGTCTGTATACCTTCTACACAGTGATGTCTGTATACCTTCTACACAGTGATGTCTGTATACCTTCTACACAGTGATGTCTGTATACCTTCTACACAGTGATGTCTGTATACCTTCTACACAGTGATGTCTGTATACCTTCTACACAGTGATGTCTGTATACCTTCTACACAGTGATGTCTGTATACCTTCTACACAGTGATGTCTGTATACCTTCTACACAGTGATGTCTGTATACCTTTTACACAGTGATGTCTGTATACCTTTTACACAGTGATGTCTGTATACCTTCTACACAGTGATGTCTGTATACCTTCTACACAGTGATGTCTGTATACCTTCTACACAGTGATGTCTGTATACCTTCTACACAGTGATGTCTGTATACCTTCTACACAGTGATGTCTGTATACCTTCTACACAGTGATGTCTGTATACCTTCTACACAATGATGTCTGTATACCTTGTACACAATGATGTCTGTATACCTTGTACACAATGATGTCTGTATACCTTGTACACAATGATGTCTGTATACCTTGTACACAATGATGTCTGTATACCTTGTACACAATGATGTCTGTATACCTTGTACACAATGATGTCTGTATACCTTGTACACAATGATGTCTGTATACCTTGTACACAATGATGTCTGTATACCTTCTACACAGTGATGTCTGTATACCTTCTACACAGTGATGTCTGTATACCTTCTACACAGTGATGTCTGTATGTATTGCACACAGTGATGTCTGTATGTATTGCACACAGTGATGTCTGTATGTATTGCACACAGTGATGTCTGTATGTATTGTACACAAATCTTGATTTAATTCTGGTGTGCTGTTCCTGGAGAAAAATTTTTTTTTTTTTTTTAACTTTTGAACTATTAACTCTTATTACATGAATACTAAACTATTCCTAATGAACTACTAACTCTGTCATTACATGAATACTAAACTATTCCTAATGAACTACTAACCTAAGTTAAATGCATGCACACTATTAAAATACTACCCACAAATCTTTCATTCATCATTCATACCTGTTTTATTCTCTTTCATTCCCATTCATTCCAATAACTATCCTTGATCTTGATCCATCCCTGCAGGCTGTGTGTGTCATGCCTATACTCTGGCGATTGCTTTTAAGGTTCTCATTCCCTGGTTCTCTTGACAATCTGTTCTGCTCTGGGCCTCTCTTGGTAGGATAGCTGGTAATCTTGCAAATATACTGACTAAAAATATTATAATTTTATAAGTTGAAACAATACTATTAACAGTGTTCAGTGACTGCATACACCGATATGCCACCTTTAAAATAATTAGTAATGGGATTAAACGGAAGGTGTTCAATACACACAGTATATGGCTGCTTTTTATAAATGAAATCAAGTGTTTATACACTTTTTTTAAAATACTTCATTAATTTGGATTGGATTTTTTACCCCACCAGGACATCACACAAGCGATAAACACCCGATGACACAAAGTGCCACCATGCGGATGAGGATCACCGTGGAGAGGTCCCAGAAACCGCGTTCAGACATTTGGCCATAATGATGACCTGCCTATATTGCGGCCCCTGGCAAAAGCCAGAGTGGGGCTTCAAACAACAAAAAATAACGTCCTAAGAAGGACGAAAATCTAACACTTCATTAATTTCAAATTTACACAAACACTATATAATTAACTTGATTAACTTTCACAATTAATATTTGTGTACACACGATGTAATACTGACATTTTTGTGGCTGTTGATTGTGCTTAAACTGTAGGAATGCTTCATTATTCTCGCATTCTTTATTTTATGATACGTTTAGTACTCGGCGATCTTGATATTGTATAGATGCTCTTGAAGTGTCGCGTAAATTTGATGATTTTGAAATGTTTCAATGGTCGATTTTGAGGTATCTGGAGAAAAAACAATTTCATGTTCCTTGATGGTGATTTTTAGGTTTGAATAATTCAGTGGCTGATATGTTTCTGTTCATTCCCTGTACAGTACTGGTTGGTGATTTCTGAATTTGGTTGAAATATAATAATCTTGAGGTGAAGAATGGTAAAATGTCAATTCTTGATAATTGTTCAGGTTCACTCTTGGTTTGGTTGAAGGTGGTTCTATGTAGCTTCCTGACTGATAATAATCTTGAACTTCATGATGATGGACTGTAGTTTTAAGCTGGTAAATGGCGATATAGTTCATAAACATAGATGGTACTTCAGTTGATGGTAATTTTCCTTATTTCAGCTGTTATTTTTGTTGATGGAGATGACTTTGTTCCCAGACTCGTATGTCTTCATCAGAACAGTCTCTAATGTTGAAGTCTTTGTATCCCAGAATCACATCTGTTCTGATGTTGTCCGTTACCACTACTTTCAATGGTCTTGATATATAGGGCGACTTCAAATAAATATAAGCTGTCCAAAATCGCATAAAAAAATCTTCTCTGTTTATACAGTAAACCATTTCTCCGCTATAATCTGATTTTTCTAAAAAAAATTTCACGTACCAAAATGATATTTGATTTTCTATTTAATTGCATTTGTGCTGGTTTTTTGTTTATCAAACATTTAGTTGACTTTTCCCAATATTTCTGACTTGTTGCTCTGTGGAATTGATCATAATCTATATATTTATATATCCTCTAAGAATGAAAATTCTTTATCCACAGTTTGCCTATCTATTATTTCACAATCTGTCTTTTTCATACACTGAGTTGCTTTTGTCTCGACTGATGTCATTGTTGGAATAGTGATATCATTTGCTTGATTAATTTTCATTGTTTCTGAGATTGACTTTTTCTCTGTTTCAGTGGCTGCTGTCTTTTTCGTTTCAACTTTCTTGCTTGTATTACTACTCTTGCTGGATTCTAATTCTGCAATTACGATTTCGTTCTTAATTTTTTTAGTTCCTGGACATTTCAATTGGCTTTTTCCTATAAACATGATATGTGGAGCTGTAACTTTTCCTTGATTTTTTCTCCAGTAGCACAGTGAACAATCTAGAGTAGGAATACCTTCTGAATCCATTCTAACTGAATTAGTTTTTGCAAACAAGGATCTTTTCTTGTCTTTTAACATCTGTTTCCCAACACAGTGTTTTACAATATGTCCGAATGCCTTACAGAAGTGGCATTTTTTAAGGTTATTCTTTTGTTTATTTTGCCACTTTTTATTGACCAAGTCTTCAATATAACTTGAATATTTAGGATCTCTGTCGCAGATAGTCGAAGAACTGTGCTGGTACTTACAAAAAATGCACATCTTGATCTTCTGGTTACTTGTCGATGTATCTTTCATTGTTGTCGCTGAAGATACTTGCGACAAAGTGTTCTTACTTTTTACCAACCTTTTAGATGCCATTCTGATAAACGCACAATCGATGCACAAAATGTCACCTTAGTAAGAAAACTGATAGTAACTGTAAATAAAATTAGTTCATAGTCCGCTAGTTTCCGCGAAACAATAATCGTCACAAATCTGATTTAATTCACAAACTTGATTTATAATATTTACGATGTATAACTCTGGTGACCATGAAACTTCCTGAATTCACAAAACTGAGTGATCTGGGGTGTGGCAGGGCGTAGATGACACACCGGTTTTCATTGGTCGGCAGCTTACCTGTCGGCGCTTGCTGTGTTAATTATAGGCCCTGCTCGGGTAAAAACGTTGTATTGTACACTGTTTTCCGCATGTTTATCTTACCTTGCAAGAAAAATTGTTTTCATATGATTGAGGTCCGCGTGGTTTCGAATTTCCTTCGGACGAGCACCCACTTGAAATGAGCCAATACGTACACTTGAAATGTACCTTGGTTTGCACCAGCTTTAACATCTAGGGTTGACAACACAAACGCCGCTCAGCTTCTTGGCTGTATACCTTGTACACAATGATGTCTGTATGTATTGTACACAATGATGTCTGTATACCTTGTACACAATGATGTCTGTATACCTTGTACACAATGATGTCTGTATACCTTGTACACAATGATGTCTGTATACCTTGTACACAATGATGTCTGTATACCTTGTACACAATGATGTCTGTATGTATTGCACACAGAACTTACATCGCTGAACCGGTGTCTTCTTGGCTGGATGATTACTTCTCATGGCTGTTTAGTCCCACCTGCTGTCGCTTTGATTCTTTCAGCGGACAGTTTTGTCCGTCTACAGGTAAATAACCGCGGTAGTAGTAGTAGTGGTAGTAGTAGTGGTAGTAGTAGTAGTAGTAGTAGTGGTAGTAGTAGTAGTAGTAGTAGTAGTAGTAGTGGTAGTGGTGGTGGTAGTAGTAGTAGTAGTAGTAGTATCAGTATTAGTAATTGTGGCAGTAGTAGTAGCAGCAGTAGTAGTAGTATTAGTAGCAGCATCAGCAGCTGTAGTAGTAGTAGTAGTAGTAGTGGTAGTGGTAGTAGTAGTGGTAGTAGTATTAGTGGTAGTAGTAGCAGTAGTAGTAGTAGTAGTGGTGGTGGTGGTGGTGGTAGTAGTAGTAGTAGTAGTAGTAGTAGTAGTAGTAGTAGTAGTAGTAGTAGTAGTAGTGGTGGTGGTGGTGGTGGTAGTAGTAGTACTAGTGGTGGTAGTAGTAGTAATAGTGGTGGTAGTAGTAGTAATAGTAGTAGTAGTGGCAATATTAGTAGTAGTAGTAGTATCAGTATTAGTAATTGTGGCAGTAGTAGTAGCAGCAGAAGTAGTAGTAGCAGCAGAAGTAGTAGTATTAGTAGCAGCAGCAGCAGCTGTAGTAGTAGTAGTAGCAGCAGAAGTAGTAGTAGCAGCAGAAGTAGTAGTATTAGTAGCAGCAGCAGCAGCTGTAGTAGTAGTAGTAGTAGTAGTAGTAGTAGTAGTAGCAGCAGCAGCAGTAGTAGTAGTAGTAGTAGTAGTAGTAGTAGTAGTAGTAGTAGTAGTAGCAGCAGTAGTAGCAGTAATAGTAGCAGTAGTAGCAGCAGCAGCAGCAGTAGTAGTAGTAGTAGTGGTAGTAGTAGTAGTAGTAGCAGAAGTAGCAGTAATAGTAGTAGTAGCAGCAGCAGCAGCAGTAGTAGTAGTAGTAGTGGTAGTGGTAGTAGTAGTAGTTAGTGCAGCAGCAGCAGTAGTAGTATAGTAGTAGTGGTAGTAGCAGTAGTAGTAGCAGTAGTAATAGTAGTAGTGGTATTAGTAGTAGTAGTAGTAGTAGTAGTAGTAGTAGTGGTAGTAATGGTGCCAGTGTTGTAGTATTCGTAGCGGCAGTTAAAGTGGAAGTAGTATTGCTGTTATTTGTATTGTTTCTGTTGTATTATATCAACAGTGTAATTTAAAATATGAACGTATAATCTGTTTGTTTTTAATTACAGAAACAAACGAGAACTGCTCGGCGTGTCCACTCACCCAGCTGGACAGTGGCCGGCCCGTTGGGGACACGTTTAATAAGTACCTGCCCTGGTTTCTCAGCGACATCCCTGGAACCAAGTGCTCCAAGGGGTAGGTGCACAAGTGTGCAGATTGTAAAGTCAGTTTTCATTAGAATATAGCATGGTATCCAATGTAAACTGCGTCAACCTGGTATCTATAGTAAACTGTGGGGGAAAAAATCCACTTGGGTTTGATTGGAACCTTAGGGCTGGCAGAAATCTAACCATCACAACACGGTGGCTTCCTTCTTTCTAACTGGGCAGTTTCTTCTGCTGTTTTGCATGTTATATTATATTGCATCTATGCCTATCTCCCCCCCCCCCCCTCTCCCCTCCCACCCCCTCCCCCCAACTACCCACCGCTTTCATGTCTTAATTCGTGTTTTTATTTCTTCTGGTCATTCCTGCAGCTTTTCTCATACATCCCATTGTAATGTTGAAATGAGCGATACCATCAGAATTGTCTTTTATCCCCCAATGGAGCAGAGGGCACCAACTAACTCACACCAAGTTGTTCTATCCTTCGCTATTGCATGCAGTTAACCTCAAGTACTCCCCATTCTATTCCACTCTCTACCACACTTCTCCGTGTGTGTTTTCGTCTGCCTTTATTTCTATGTCTCTGTGGGTTCTAGTGAAAAGCCAGTCTTTTTATATTGTTCTCCAGTTTTCTCATCTTTCATCCTATCCAACACCAGCGTCTTTTCCTCACCTCTTGGTCCACTGAAACTTGTGTATTTCTCTGTTCGGATTTTACCGTTAGCTTGTTTCCTGTTGATGAGTGATGGTTGACATCTAATCTTCTGGTCATCAACAGGGGTCAGGCGGCTTACGGAGCTGGGGTCAACCTGTACAGGGACACAAATAACCAGACACGTGCAGGTGGTGAGTAATCGGTCACTTTTCTGTAGTCACTTTTCACAATGATTGGTGTGTACACAGGTACATTCGTGTGTGTGTCTCTGTGTGTGTGTGTGTGTGTGTGTGTGTGTGTGTGTGTGTGTGTGTGTCCGTGTAGCAGTGTACGGTTTATTAAACAGTAAGATGTAATATACCCTCTTTTGTTTACATAGGGTGAGTAAACAATCAAACACAAATCAAATGTCGTGTGAGCAATGGTACGGGAAGTTAGAAATCCAACTATTTGAGAAGATATAAACAGGCAAGCTGACTGGTCATGGTAGTCACTTGGACCTTGGGGATCTGCCACGGACAATAGAGGAGAGCAGATTCCGCGCAACAAGGACAGACAATATACCAGAAACAATGTAATTACTGATGTGTGCAAAAACGTTGGGGCCTATCCGGAGCCCTGTTGATGGTGGGTGGGGTGGGGGGTGAAAGTGAGGGAATAAACTCATGTAAAAGTTGACTAATTGAGGATTTGCTAAAATCGGATGATGTGTTGGATGAAATGTGCAGATATCGTAGTCTAGCTGTAAGCCACAATACAAGGTGTCAAGCGGCCTTTTAATAGCGAATGCAGAATATGTGTTGGTTTAGATTTGCTGCCCTAAATAGAATAGATGAGAGAAGAGAGTTCCCAAGAAATGAATCACTAACACAAGAAATCAATCAATCATACAAGAAATAAATCAGTCACAGAAGAAATGAATCAGTCACACACGAAATGAATCAGTCACACACGAAATGAATCAGTCACACTCGAAATGAATCAGTCACACACGAAATGAATCAGTCACACACGAAATGAATTAGTCACACACGAAATGAATCAGTCACACACGAAATGAATCAGTCACACACGAAATGAATCAGTCACACAAGAAATGAATCAGTCACACTCGAAATGAATCAGTCACACACGAAATGAATCAGTCACACAAGAAATAAATCAGTCACACACGAAATGAATCAGTCACACAAGAAATAAATCAGTCACACAAGAATGTAAGAATAGTGCGTTCAGTCTTTGTGTGCCCTAGATAGATTCCATGATGAGATGTAGATATTTGTGTGTGGTGTGTGTGTGTGTGTGTGCGTGCGTGCGTGCGTGCGTGTGTGTGTGTGTGAGAGAGAGAGAAAAAAGTGGGGGGGGGGTGTCCCAGTGCCTTTAACAGTAACTTTAAAATTGTTACTGGAAGATAACTAGGGAGGTAATAGCGGCCAACGTGTTAATCATCACATGGCTGACCCATTAACTGTTGATCTTTTAATGTGGTGCTGATCTAAATATAACCGTCATACTTAGTGAAAGGACACAAACACTCACACTTGTTATTTACTATTTCTGACTGTAATTTCAAATGTACTTTATGTTTGTACAGTAAAGTTCACCTTGTTTGTTGTGAATTGCCTATTCGCGTGTTGATTGTGTGCGGGATTTGAATCGCAGCTTCGTATTTCATGACGTATCATACGATCCTGAAGACGTCAGAAGATTATATCGAAGCTCTGAAGTCTGCCCGCCACATCGCCGACAACATCAGCCAGTCTTTGAGCACTCCAGGGCACACATACAAAGTCTTTCCTTACAGGTAAATATAGCCAGGAAATTTTTTTCTTTCACGCCATCATCGTTGTAACATACTCAGCACCATATAACTGAGCTACAGAACTGACATATATCGGTAAAGTTGCCAAACATAAAAGTATTATTGTTAAATGTCTTCATAATTTACCCTTCTCCACATACTGCAGTCTCTACACAAGAAACACGTAAAGGACCATTTTTGACGTCTTCAGGTCTAGGCCCATATTTTAAAGGCCAAAATGGTGGATGACGTGGTCAGTATCACACCGGCTGTCTTTACATACCAGGAATTTTCCTGATACCCATTCAAGGTTGGGTCGACCTGTGAGCCAAGGTCGTTTCTGAAAGAAAGGGCCCAAACCTACGACATTCAGATCGGCAGGCCAGTGTCTAGCGTGTAGGTACTCATTCCTTCTTTCCCCGCCACAGCAAGATACTGTCAGTGGCCTTCTCTTGGTATCTTCCACGGCCAGCTCCAGATTTATAGAAATAGCTCAAGATGGGCGTGTTATCTTCCATGTCACTTTTCTCTCTCATTCTCTCTTTCTCTCATTCCTCTCTCTCTCTCTCTCTCTCTATATATATATATATATATATATATATATATATATATATATATATATATATATATATATATATATATAATATTTACATATATATACATCTTTTGCTCTCTATCTATCTCTATCTCTATCTCTTTATATATCTCTCTGCCTCTCTCTAATTCTTGCTTCCTCTCTCTTTATGTGAAGAAAACTTCAACTTTTAAACATCTGTTCAGTTTTCCTTCTCGTAACTAAATCATGTCTAATGGCCGTTTCTGATTATTAATTTGTGATTTAGTTTATTTCAACACACACACACACACACACACACACACACACACACACACATATATATATATATATATATATATATATATATATATATATATATATATATATAGATTACTTCTTTTTTTTTTAAACGACATCTCGCTTGCTTAAAATATATTTTTTTTTATTTGATTGTTTTCTAATTGTCCACAAATTATAACCACATGTTGAAACATGTTATATATTAATAACAACAAAAACTGAAACAATTGAAATTTTATAAGGTTTTCCTTATGTTTAGCAATAGAATATCGTCTCGTCGTGTTCCGTTGTTCGTTTCCTGTGTTGCATCTAACATGCCAACATGCTGCAGCTCTTTACACAGTACAGTTAAACGGCCTCTACCAAATCACACAGTACAGTTAGTTAAACGGCCTCTAGCATATCACACAGTACAGTTAAACGGCCTCTACCATATCACACAGTACAGTTAAACGGCCTCTACCATATCACACAATACAGTTAAACTGTCTCTACCATATCACACAGCACAGTTAAACGGCCTCTACCATATCACACAGTACAGTTAAACGGCCCCTACCAAATCACACAGTACAGTTTAACGGCCTCTAGCATATCACACAGTACAGTTAAACGGCCTCTACCAAATCACACAGTACAGTTAAACGGCCTCTAGACCAGTCAGCGCTTCACAGATCGTTGTCATTATTGGTCACTGCCATCCAGGCCGGCTTTGTTTCAACAAACTTTCCAATATCCCATTTTGGACCGGGTGGATCTAGGAAGCAAATTAAATTGAGGAAAGTAGCCTCACTAATGGTTTGAACCTATACCTAGCGAACCAGCAGGGGGGAGAGCGTGATGGTCATTTTACCGCTACATACCAGCTCGTTTATAATACATGTACTACAAGAATAACAATCGTACTTATCTGTTGCCATCTGAACACCTGCATATTGGGCTTGAGTTCAGAATAGATATAAAGAATTAATACTGAAAAGTCACTTTTCTAAAATACTTTCATTTTATATAAAAAAAAACCTAAAAAAAAAGGGTGATGTTAAAATTTGCTTCCAGCATCTTCTATGTGTTCTATGAACAATACCTAAACATCGTCATCAACGCTGTGCTAAACATCACCTACTGCCTGGCGGCCATCTTGTTTATCACATTTCTGCTGTTGGGCTTTGACCTGCATTCAGCGGTCATAGTTGTCGTCACTATCTTGATGATCCTGGTGGACATCATGGGACTGATGTATCTGTGGAATATTGAACTCAACGCGCTGTCGCTGGTCAATCTTATCATGGTAGGTGCTTAATCACATTTTTGAAACCATGTTTCCCCATTAGGGAATTTAAATAATATGGGCACAAACAATAAATGACACCGTTTATTGTCTGGCATATTTCCCTTCTGATGTCAGATACTTGGGAGTAAACGTCAATATATAATGAAACACAAAACTTGAATCTTGTAAATGAAAGACACAAATCACATGGTCTGTTACCCGGAGTTTCAAGATAGCAGGTAATTAGCACGGAAGTTTATCATTCACCACATGCTCTTTTTCTTGGTACAACTTAGGATGTATTTTTGTACAGTCACAACTGAAACCAGTGTCACTTCTAGAAGTTATTACCCCCCATAGGACGGCAGGTTACCCCTGGCTGGTGTCGCCCTTGTGGGGTAGTTAGTTGCCTTACGCTTTACAGGACGTTGCAGAAACAACCCCAATATTTTTTGGCTGTTATGGTTTTTCTAGGCATATGCTACGTTCAGTAGTTTGCCATTGCTCACTAAACGATTAGCTCTCTATACCGCTGTCGAAACCAACGCAAGACGGATCGTGAACAGCTGGGATCGAACCCGGAACCCTGGCATTACAAAGCACGTTCGCAACGCCTAAGCCACAGACGCAGGCGTTATGGGTAAACTCATAACTTCTGCTCGTTTGGCGTCTGGTCTAAGAATTTGTTAATCTCAGGACGGTACGGTTCCATCGATTACTTCCAGAACTTGAAATCAATACTTTTCATGGACTGATGTTTGTTGGACTTTGGAAGATATTGCGGTGTTTGTTGTTGTGGTTATAACTGTTGTGATTCTTTGACTTTGCCTTGTTATCTCTATCTTGAACTGAAACCAAAATGGCAATATACTTATACACATAGATTGTCCCTGTCGAAAACTTGCCGGTACTCAATACAAACTGTTTACAAAAGCGTCAGCAGTCACCAGAGAATAGCGTCAAAAGTATCATTACAACGATGCCCTTAGCGCGTACTGTTATGTATGTAAAAGATCCCTTTTTACGCATTTAGGCACATCGGGCATTTGGGAAGAGCACCCACAATTTTACAGACCAATCAGCACTATGTGGATAATGTGGTCAGCATTCCGCCGGCCGTCTTTACTACTCCAGGACATACATACCGGTACCCATTTTATCGCTGGGTCGACCCATACCAGGATACAAATCCACGCAGGTACTTTTGTGGGCCGTCAGAAACAGAAACCTACTAAACAAATCTGTCCCAGTTAACTATGATTTCTCATTACCAGTCTGTGCGTGCGTGCGTGCGTGCGTGCGTGCGTGCGTGCGTGCGTGCGTGCGTGCGTGCGTGCGTGCGTGCGTGCGTGCCAGTGTCCATGGGTACAGGTTGTGAGGACGTGTGAATGTGCGTGCGTGCAGGTTTACATGGGTACAAGTGTGTGTGAGGATGTGTGAGTGTGTCTGCGTGCAAGCGTACATGGGTACAGGTGTGTGTGAGGACGTTTAAGTGTTTGTGCGTGTCAGTGTACATGGATACAGGTGTGTGTGAGGATGTGTGAGTGTGCGTACGTGTCAGTGTACATGGATACAGGTGTGTGTGAGGATGTGTGAGTGTGCGTACGTGTCAGTGTACATGGATACAGGTGTGTGTGAGTGTGCGTGCGTGCTGGTGTACATGCGTGCGGGTATGCATTAGTGCGGTTTCCCCCCTGTTTTGCTGCCACCTGTAGGTTTGACACCCTGTGATTACCAAATCTCCATCCGGGCGACAGATCAACAGGGTGGGTCCCACATACTAATTTCAACCTTTAGAGAAGTTATAATTGGGCGCATGTGACAGTTACATCAGGCTAGTGTAATTTGCAGTCTATGGCGGGTACAGACTGTCTGCTACAGCCATCAGTGAAGAGTTGGTTGTAACATTGTCACACGGCAGCTGAGCTAACATAATCTAGTCAGACATATGTTACAATCTTGAACATAATATAGTCAGACATATGTTATATCCTTAAACATAATATAGTCAGACATATGTTATATCCGTGAACATAATATAGTCAGACATATGTTATATCCTTAAACATAATATAGTCAGACATATGTTATATCCTTAAACATAATATAGTCAGACATATGTAATATCCTTAAACATAATATAGTCAGACACATGTTATATCCTTGAACATAATATAGTCAGACATATGTTATATCCTTAAACATAATATAGTCAGACATATGTTACAATCTTGAACATAATATAGTCAGACATATGTTACAATCTTGAACATAATATAGTCAGACATATGTTATATCCTTGAACATAATATAGTCAAACATATGTTATATCCTTAAACATAATATAGTCAGACATATGTTATATCCTTGAACATAATATAGTCAGACATATGTTATATCCTTAAACATAATATAGTCAGACATATGTTATATCCTTAAACATAATATAGTCAGACATATGTAATATCCTTAAACATAATATAGTCAGACATATTGACATCCTTAAACATCCTAAATCACCAACAGGCCATCGGCATATCTGTAGAGTTTTGTTCGCACACAGTCCGTGCTTTCACTGTGAGTATTCTACCCACCCGGCCACTGAGAGCTCAACAGGCCTTGTCGATGATTGGCAGTTCAGTAAGTACAACATGATTTACTTTACACTGCATAGATTACTCGCTTAAACGTACACGTAAATATAGTTGAACCACATCAAAGCGTTGCTCGTCCATCTAATGAGATGAAGACTGCTCATTGTCCAGTGAGATTTAATGGAAATGGTTGAAGGTAAGCAAGCCCAACACAAGATCTTGGCTAGTGTGGACATCTCATGCTAGAAACACACAGTGACTTGCGTGCAATGGTTGAAGGTAAGCTCGGTGCAAGCCCAACACGAGATCTTGGCCAGTGTGGACATCTCATGCTAGAAACACACCGTGACTTGCGCAACTGGGAAGCTTCGCTCTCTTGGCAGCTTCGCTCTCTTGGCAGTGTTCATTTATTATCTAACAATATGGCATTGGTGGTTTGGGTGCAACCACCTTTGCATGTGGCCAGACTGTCAAAGTTTCGAATTCCCATTGAGGTAGATTCCAAAAATTGACAACAACCCAAGCTGACCTAACCTAGCATGGTTACTAACGCGGCAGCGTCTCCTTAAAGAAATAGATTGGAAATGGAGAGGGGGGGGGGGGAGTTCAGCCCAATCATAATTTCTCAGAAGGCGCCAGTTCAAGGGGCTTAAGGGGGGAGTTCTAGCAGAGAATCTCGAAAAAATGTGATTTTTGAATTTAGAAACAAACTTGGTATCCCATTATAGATTAACCAATATCCTTCATGTTTCTGTATAAATTGTTTTAATCGGTTGAGTAGTATCGGAGTTATGATGGTTCAAAGATAGTCAGGTGTTTCTGGTCTTGGTTAAAAAAAAAAAAAAATCAAGAATTCGTGTTTTCACAAATACACATATCTTTAGCAACAATGCGAGCCTCCCTAACAGTTTTCCTACAATGAACGACCCTTCGAAGGAACAATCAAAATGTCTGCCTTTGTGGAAGCGTGTTGATATTTTGTTTGTTCTGAAATTGTTTGTATAAGTGATATTCTTAACAATGTCAAGTGATAAAAAGTATTGTAAACATTCAAGGAAGCGAAAGTTTCACGGGAATAGGTTTATGAGTGCTGCAAAGAGATGCGGAGAATTAGATTTAAATAATTCTATTGAGGACGACAAACATGTAAACACTGACATTCCTACAAGTAATTTTTTGACATGTAGTAGTAAAACTAAAAATAATAGGAGAACCAGTACTAAAGTTGACATTCCCAGTGCCACGCCCACTCACAGTCGGTCATCGATAAAAATCAACGACCTGTATGACATTGATGATGATCCAGACACAGATTTAGATGAATGTGATGAGGTAAATAGTCATCCTAAATGTGACAGTACTGACAGTGAAGGCTACAGGATTGTTGACCTGGATATTCTATGTCATCAGATTTCATCACAGCTGGTTTGTGCATTTTGTTACAACCAAGTCAGACTGACTGAGAACGAAAGACAAGGACTCGGTAGTCAATTTGAATTTGTGTGCAGCAACCAGAATTGTAAAAGGCAGACCATTTTTAATTCAAACCCCCAAATTAGTGTCAACAACAGCAACAGCTTACAAGTACACTCAGTCAATAGGCGAGCTGTCTTTGCTATGCGCTGTGCAGGAGGTGATCGCTCGGACTTACAAACATTTTGTGGAATAATGAATCTCCCGCCGCCTGTCCAGAAGAGTACATATAAACTAATAAATGAAAGGATAGAAAGTGCTGTTAGCTCCTCTCAAGCAGCTAGCATGAAGAAAGCTGCAGAAATAGAATTTAGATTAGCAGAGAAGACAGATTCAGTTGATGATAGCCGGGATATTGATGTGTCTGTAGATGGAACGTGGATGACCCGAGGACACTCCTCAAAAATAGGAGTAACCACGCTCATTGGCTGTGTCACAGGAAAGGTTATTGACACAGGTGCACTCTCAAAAGTGTGCAAATCTTGTGACTACTGGAACACACAAGACAAAGATTCAGAAGCTTATGAGTTGTGGGAACAAAATCACCAATCACAGTGTACATCTACACATAATGGTTCATCCGGAGGTATGGAAGCAACAATCGCTAAAGAATTATTTTCCATGTCAGTTGAAAAATATAAGCTGAGATACACACGCTTCATTGGAGATGGTGACACAAACAGCTTCAAAACAGTTTCTGATTCAAAACCATACGGTGACACACCTGTTGTGAAGATAGAATGTGTCGGGCACGTGCAAAAAAGAATGGGAACCAGACTACGCAAGATCAAGAATTTTTGGGGGAAGGGAAAGAAACTGTCAGATGGGAAGAATATTGGTGGAAAAGGAAGGCTTACGGACACACAGATTGACTCTATTCAGAAATATTATGGGAATGCAATCAGAGGTAATAAGAATGACTTGAAAGGAATGCGAGAGGCTGTTTGGGCAATATATTTTCACAAACTCTCCACGGATCAAAAGCCTGTTCACAATCTCTGCAAAATTAGTTGGTGCCCATATCAAATAGCTGTTGCTACCAACACAGAAAAGGATTATAAACATAAAAATTCCCTGCCTGCAGCAGTTATGGATGTCATCAAACCAGTTTTCAGAGATCTCTCGAACCCTGACCTGTTAAGAAAATGTCTAGATGGCTACACCCAGAACGCTAACGAATCAATCAACAGCACAATTTGGCGACATTGCCCTAAACACAAGTACCACGGATTAGTAGCTGTCAAGATTGCAGTTGGCATTGCAGTACTCATTTTCAATGATGGAGCAAAAGCCCTAGAAGCACCCCTAGTGGCAATGCAACTATTGTGTGGACGTTTCACGTCAGAATTTTTCATCTCGACTGACACGTTACGGCTGAAAAACTCTCAGAAGAAAGCAACAGAAGCATCATTGGAAGCGAGAAGTGCAAGAAGGAGGAAGCGACTTGGTTTAGAGGAGGTACAGGCTCAATCCGAAGGTTTTCCTTACTTGACAGGGAGTCACTGAGGTAAAAATCTAAAATATTTTCACTAAAAAAAATTAAACGTCGTTTGTTGTAAAATGTTACATTTTTTTCACTTATCCTGGTATAACTTTATCAGATATCAACTAATCTGCATGAAATTTTGCATGCTTGTTCACATTATAACTGGTTGTAGCCTATTCTAAGGGAATTCAAATATCATGATTGTGTACATTTTTATGTAATTTCAAATTTGTAATTTTCCACATACAAAAAGAGGAAAATTTCAGGTAGCTTAACATAAAATCTATTAAATGTGTACTGTTTTCCATAGTCCGGGCCCATACTCACACCATTTTTGTATGTGCAGTTTAATTTTAAAGGAATTTGGCTGCACCATTTTCCTAAAAATATTTCCAAGTAAACATCTATATTTTGAATATTTAAAAAATAAATTTTTGACTTAAAAAATTTATTATTTCACATGTATATATTGAATTCCAAAGATGTTTATTTTATATGATAGCCTGATCATATGGTCATTATGTCTGCAAATTTGAGAGTCCTATCTTTAAAATTGAATTTTTAATGATTTCTTTTCTGCCGCGACTGATTCCCTGCTAGAACTGCCCCCTTAAGCCGTGTTTCATTGAGCAATAATGTATTAATAAAAGGACTCTTCATTTCTTAAACATATAAACATACTGGGCATGTAGGGCAAGACCTATTTTATACAGACTTATCGGCACTCTGAAGGTGATATAATCAGCATCATAACAGCCGCCTTTACTTCTCATTTTACCTGGTAGCCATTTAAGGCTGAATCGACCTGGGAGCCGATGTCATATTTGAAAAGTGTCACTATAATTATTATAGCAAAAAAACTTTCTCTGTCTAATGATCGCGCTCAGAAATCATCTTAACAGATAAAATCTTTCATGAACAACTTGTGCATTCACTGACCAGGTACTGAGTGGCATCACACTGACCAAGATCGCCGGAATTATCATGTTGGCGTTCTCCGAGTCACAACTGTTCCAGGTCTTCTACTTCCGCATGTACCTGGCCACGGTGGTGTTTGGTGCCGCCCACGGTCTTGTCTTTCTACCCGTGCTCCTCAGTTATATGGGTAAGTTGGGTGGTTGGCAGATGGTTGTTTGACTTGAATGTTGGTTGGTTAGGTGTTGACGTCTTGCTTGACTAAATGGTTGTTTGACTTTAATGCTGGCTGGTTGGTTGGTTAGGTGTTGACTTTTTGCTTGACTAGATGGTTGGTTGGCTAGATGTTTGTTTGTTGCTTTACTAGATGGTTGGTTGGTTCGATGTTCGCTTTTTGCTTGAGTAGAGGGTTGGTTGGTTAGATATTCGCTTGTTGCTTGACTAGATGGTTGGTTGATTAGATATTCGCTTGTTGCTTGACTAGATGGTTGGTTGATTAGATGTTCGCTTGTTGCTTGACTAGAAGGTTGGTTGGTAAGATGTTCGCTTGTTGCTTGACTAGATGGTTGGTTGGTTACATGTTCACTTGTTGCTTGACTAGAGGGTTGGTTGGTTAAATGTTCGCTTGTTGCTTGACCAGAGGGTTGGTTGGTTAGATGTTCGCTTGCTGCTTGACTAGATGGCTGGTTGGTTAGATGTTCGCTTGCTGCTTGACTAGAGGGTTGGTTGATTAGATGTTCGCTTGCTGCTTGACTAGATGGTTGTTTGACTGGTAGATCTGATGTCTGCACCGGTGCCTTACTTTGTTTGGCTGGCTGTTTGTTTGTTGTTATTTAACTGATCGTTTGATTGTTTGCATACTTGCATGGCTCCACAGTTAGTTTGAGCAGCTTGACAATGAACTAGCCTAACCACATAAAGGAAACATGGCCAATCTAGTCCTAAACTCATTTGGTCTATGGTGGGAACATGAACAGCCTATTCCTAATGCTAGCCAATCTGTGTAGGGAACATGATCAGCCTAGTCCTAATGCTAGCCGGTCTGTGTGGGGAACATGACCAGTCTAGTCCAAATGCTAGCCAATCTGTGTAGGGAACATGATCAGTCTAGTCCTAATGCTAGCCGGTCTGTGTAGGGAACATGATCAGCCTAGTCCTAATGCTAGCTGGTCTGTGTAGGGAACATGACCAGTCTAGTTCTAATGCTAGCCAATATGTGTAGGGAACATGACCAGTCTAGTCCAAATGCTAGCTGGTCTGTGTAGGGAACATGATCAGTCTAGTTCTAATGCTAGCCAATCTGTGTAGGGAACATGACCAATCTAGTTCTAATGCTAGCCAATCTGTGTAGGGAACATGATCAGCCTAGTCCTAATGCTAGCCGGTCTGTGTAGGGAACATGACCAGTCTAGTCCAAATGCTAGCCAATCTGTGTAGGGAACATGATCAGTCTAGTCCTAATGCTAGCCGGTCTGTGTAGGGAACATGATCAGCCTAGTCCTAATGCTAGCCGGTCTGTGTAGGGAACATGACCAGTCTAGTCCAAATGCTAGCCAATCTGTGTAGGGAACATGATCAGTCTAGTCCAAATGCTAGCCGGTCTGTGTAGGGAACATGATCAGTCTAGTTCTAATGCTAGCCAATCTGTGTAGGGAACATGACCAGTCTAGTTCTAATGCTAGCCAATCTGTGTAGGAAACATGACCAGTCTAGTCCAAATACCAGCCAATCTGTGTAGGGAACATGACTAGTCTAGTCCAAATGCTAGCCAATCTGTGTAGGGAACATGAACAGCCTATTCCTAATGGTGGCCAATCTGTGTAGGGAACATGACCAGTCTAGTCCAAATACCAGCCAATCTGTGTAGGGAACATGACCAGTCTAGTCCAAATACCAGCCAATCTGTGTATGTTATAGAAGGATATTATGACGAGGCTTAATGCAAAAATGTGTATAAGCAGATGTGACATCACAGTGCAACTGACCCACTTCACTGGTGTCTGTTTTTGGAGAAGGGGGAAGGGGTGGTCACAGCTCTGCAACACTTGCCGTGATGATGATACTTTGAAGCTGATCTCGGGGAAAGCCCTACACTAGCAGACACTAACAGACACTAACAGACACTAACAGACGCAACCCCGAATCTGGGTTGTTCGGTTTTAATGTCTTTGCTTGAAAAGTTTAAACACAGTTTGCAAAAGATTCAGAGTCAGACCTTGATTCCGAATGCGAAGACATGACCTGCCACAGTAAAACAGAACAGACACAACATTGTACCTGCACTCTCCTGAACAGAAGAAGAAAAACCATGTATAGACAGATTTTGTTCCGCGCTAAAAATATCTTCAGCATGTGTGTCTCCTCTTTTACTTCCCCTGTTTCCTCGCTCCCTCCTTCAACATTCTGGTGTCGAAAAAGATACAAGCTCGTGGTTCGGGCTCTTCTGGTCGCCGAGACTATAGACGCTTATTACAGTTGTAGAATTTCTCTGATAATATCTTTCCACTTTGTTCTTTGTCTGCCTCTGAAACTACGCCATCCTGTCTCTTGGCAATCTCTGTAAGTGGACATAACTTTTGCCGTTATGTAATGTAGTCGTGCCAAGTTTTGTCTCTTATAACCTCGTTCATGATTTTATTCAACTCTGGCAGACATCTCCTTAGCATTTCTCGGACATCTTATTTAAGTTGTTACCATTTTTTCCTTTTTTAATTTCTTTTTTTAAACAATAAATGTATTTGTTCATTTATTTGTAAATTTCTTTATTTTGCCTAGCATGTCCATTGTTTAATTTCGTGGTTTTTTTTTTTTTTTTTTTATAAGTAAACCAAATGATATTAACTCTTTAAAAACTATTCTCTAAACACTAGATATCAAATAAATAAGCCAGTGTGTAATATTCACCATACATGTTCATATATTCCCAAACAGGACCTCCTGTCAACAAAGCCAAATTGTACAAAAGCAAAGTTGTCCAAAATAAACCAGATCCCAGCAGCATGCCAGTTGAACAGAAGCCATCACCTGGTATGAAAACCAGTTTAAACAAAAGACCGCTTTCTTATAAAACAATGGAGACTAACTGACTCACGTCAACTACTTCAACTAACACTGGCACTTACTAATCCCATGTTTCAATAATTTCAGCATTCAGTTTATTTATTTTGTTATTAACAAACCCACCAGTTCCTTCGTCGGCTGGTATCATTCCAGAATCAAATTTCGTCAGCATTAACTAACCCAGAATCGGATAGCTGTAACATCAACTAACCCAGAATCGGATAGCTGTAACATCAACTAACCCAGAATCGGATAACTGTAACATCAACTAACCCAGAATCGGATAGCTGTAACATCAACTAACCCAGAATCGGATAGCTGTAACATCAACTAACCCAGAATCGGATAGCTGTAACATCAACTAACCCAGAATCGGATAACTGTAACATCAACTAACCCAGAATCGGATAACTGTAACATCAACTAACCCAGAATCGGATAGCTGTAACATCAACTAACCCAGAATCGGATAGCTGTAACATCAACTAACCCAGAATCGGATAGCTGTAACTAATCCAGAATCGGATAGCTGTAGCATCAACTAACCCAGAATCGGATAACTGGAGCATAAATTAACCACATAATCAACTAATCTCCGACAGAATCAACTATTTTCAGCACCAACTGACCCCACATTGAATCAACTATCTTCAAAACTAAATCATCGCATTTAACGAATTTCTGCACAAACTGACCCCATTATCGACGGGCTGCAGCAGCAGTTAAGCCCAGGAACAGTTATTCTCAACATCAGCTAACCCGGTTATCATCTTTTCTCAGCAACTAACCCAAGAATCATCAAATGCTCAACGTTAACTAATTCCAGAATCGGCTAGCGTCAGTGTCATCTAACACAACAGTAAATCATTATCAGCATCGATTGTGTCCAGAAGCAGCCCATATCAGCACTGGTTAACCATAGAATCATATTTCTGGCACCTAATAACCCTGGATTCAACTGCTAAAACTGACTCCAGCACTAAAAAACTTGCCAGTCAGTACATTCAGCCCCAGCTAACTCCAGAAGCAAGAAGTCTCAATAACTAACCACAGAATCAATTATTCTCAGCGTCAACTACTGTAACTCTGCCACTTTACGCTTCATTAACTCTAGCGTCAGTTTATTCCACCATTAACAAACCTGCCAGTTTCTGGGTCGTTTGGTATCACACTATCATGTCATGCCAAAATCAGATTTCTTCCAAATCACATAACCCAGAATCAAATAGCTGCAGCATCAAAAAACCACAGAATCAACTATTTTCAGCGCCAACTGGCTACAGAGACGATTTGTAATTTTCTAAGCCAGTTAGCAGCAGATTCAACTAATCCAAGCACCAAGTATCCTTAGAATCGGCTAGGTGCAGAATCGGATAGCCCCAGAATCATCAATTCACAGCATCAGCTAACACCAGAATCATCCATTCCCGGCATCAATTAACTCCAGAATCATCCATTTCCATCATCAATTAACACCAGAATCAGCCATTCCCAGCATCACTAACACCAAAATCATCAATACCCAGCATTGACAAGTACCAGAATCATCCATTCCCAACATCGACCAGTACCAGAATCATCCATTCCCAGCATCAACTAACACCAGAATCTTCCATTCCCAGCATCAACTAACACCAGAATCTTCCATTCCCAGCCATCAACTAACACCAGAATCTTCCATTCCCAGCCATCAACTAACACCAGAATCAGCCACTTCCAGCATCAACTAACACCAGAATCTTCCATTCCCAGCCATCAACTAACACCAGAATCTTCCCTTCCCAGCCATCAACTAACACCAGAATCTTCCATTCCCAGCATCAACTAACACCAGAATCTTCCATTCCCAGCCATCAACTAACACCAGAATCATCCATTCCCGGCATCAACTAACACCAGAATTAGCCACTTCCAGCATCAACTAACACCAGAATCTTCCATTCCCAGCATCAACTAACACCAGAATCTTCCATTCCCAGCCATCAACTAACACCAGAATCATCCATTCCCGGCATCAACTAACACCAGAATTAGCCACTTCCAGCATCAACTAACACCAGAATCTTCCATTCCCAGCATCAACTAACACCAGAATCTTCCATTCCCAGCCATCAACTAACACCAGAATTAGCCACTTCCAGCATCAACTAACACCAGAATCTTCCATCCCAGCATCAACTAACACCAGAATCTTCCATTCCCAGCATCAACTAACACCAGAATCTTCCATCCCAGCATCACCTAACACCAGAATCTTCCATTCCCAGCCATCAACTAACACCAGAATCATCCATTCCCGGCATCAACTAACACCAGAATTAGCCACTTCCAGCATCAACTAACACCAGAATCTTCCATCCCAGCATCAACTAACACCAGAATCTTCCATTCCCAGCATCAACTAACACCAGAATCTTCCATCCCAGCCATCAACTAACACCAGAATTAGCCACTTCCAGCATCAACTAACACCAGAATCTTCCATCCCAGCATCAACTAACACCAGAATCTTCCATTCCCAGCATCAACTAACACCAGAATCTTCCATCCCAGCATCAACTAACACCAGAATCTTCCATTCCCAGCCATCAACTAACACCAGAATCAGCCACTTCCAGCATCAACTAACACCAGAATCTTCCATTCCCAGCATCAACTAACACCAGAATCCTCCATCCCAGCCATCAACTAACACCAGAATCTTCCATTCCCAGCCATCAACTAACACCAGAATCCTCCATCCCAGCCATCAACTAACACCAGAATCTTCCATCCCAGCCATCAACTAACACCAGAATCTTCCATTCCCAGCCATCAACTAACACCAGAATCAGCCACTTCCAGCATCAACTAACACCAGAATCTTCCATTCCCAGCATCAACTAACACCAGAATCTTCCATTCCCAGCCATCAACTAACACCAGAATCCTCCATCCCAGCCATCAACTAACACCAGAATCTTCCATTCCCAGCCATCAACTAACACCAGAATCTTCCATTCCCAGCCATCAAGTAACACCAGAATCTTCCATTCCCAGCCATCAACTAACACCAGAATCCTCCATCCCAGCCATCAACTAACACCAGAATCTTCCATTCCCAGCCATCAACTAACACCAGAATCTTCCATCCCAGCCATCAACTAACACCAGAATCTTCCATTCCCAGCCATCAACTAACACCAGAATCTTCCATCCCAGCCATCAACTAACACCAGAATTAGCCACTTCCAGCATTAACTAACACCAGAATCATCAATTCTCAGTATCGACCAGTACCAGAAGCAGCCATTCTCAGCACTATTTAGTCGACAAATAATCCTCATTGCACAGCAAACTAGTCAGTTCATAAGTGTTCGGATCCCCTCCTCAATAAATTCCGCAACGTGAAGCGGCCGACCACACCAGTTCTGTTTCTTATTCTTCTTTGACTTCTTGGTCTTGTGTGGCAGCATCCCTTAAACGTGTTGCTTCTTGCAGTCTGGATGTGGTTGCAGATTTAGTCACTTGCTTGACGCAAACGGTAGAGTATAGTGGAGCATTCAGAATACCAGCCTGGTTCATGGCTAGTCCGCCATTCGCAGTAGCTTTATCTGCACGCTCATTTCCTGGCATGCCTGCGTTCCCTGGCATAAAAACCTAACTTCCTCTTCTTTGGAGCAGGCAGTGGGTCTATTCTTGTTTCCCAACAATGGGGCCCGGAACCCACACGGGAAAAAACATAACTGATCTTTATCAGCTTTGATCGTCTTAGAAAAACCAACCACTGTCTTCTGACCCCTCCTGTCTCTAGACCCCTCCTGTCCCTAGACTCCTCCTGTCTCTAGACCCCTCCTGTCTCTAGACCCCTCCTGTCTCTAGACCCCTCCTGTCTCTAGACCCCTCCTGTCTCTATCTTCCTAAGCATACTCAGCATCAAGTAACCCAAGAATCCGCTATTCTTGCAGACGCAAGAAAACCAGCTAACCTCTTAATCAGTTATTGTCAGCTTCAGCAAGCACTTAACTAAGCTTGGCACAGACTCCAGAATTAATCAATTCCAGCATAAGTTAACTACGGAATCAAATATTCATACAATCAGCTAAATGCAGCATTAACTAAGATAAACAATATCTCTAGCATGGACATATATACACGTTATTCAACCATAGCCTCGGCTACGATACCATTTGCAAAAACACCAGGATCTGTTTTCCTTTGAAGTCGGGGTGCATTTTCCTGGAAGATGAGGAACCAATAGTCGGTTTTTTTTCGTAATAAGTCACCTCCAGATGACGTCACGGAGGTACACGGGTACAGTTCAATATTTTACAGGATAGTAAGACGGGTTTCCCGGCTTTGTGGTGCTTTGAGCTACCCCAAAACATCTAAAACTTGATCTTACTTGATCTTGGGGCTTCAAATAACGAAAAATTGCATCCCATAAGGGGACGACAAACATGGTGGACCAGCACTATCTCTGGCAACACTTTGTAACAGTGATAGTTGCTTCCCTGCGACTCCTGTTTCTAGGTTCTAGTTTCTTCAATCTGATCTGTCTTTAACGACACCCAAAACGCTTACGACTGCTTTTTCTATGTCTACTTATCTACATCGAACTGCTCGTTTTTATAATTCTGTTTATTTCCCCAGATGCCACAAATGCGATGGATCCTGCTCTTGAATGTTGTCGCCTCTAGATACGAGTTGACGGGTCTGGTTGTGTGCATGCTGTATGAGAATGGAGATAGAGGGATCGCCACTGTGGCCTGGTGGAAATGAGAGACTTCGGCAGCAAGATATGCGGAAACCCTAACACAAACGTGGATGAGAGAGGTCAAAGATGCCGACTGGATTCTATCCATGGTACTGCAACAGCTGCACATGATATCAATGGATTGGACAAATAAACTGCGAGCCTTTTGTGACGGTCAATGGCACAACAGATGATGATAATGATGATGATCGGAATCATAGACGGTGAATAGAATAGTCACATGGCAGGTCTGAGTATCGCAGAAGGATGACCAAATAAGAAAGCGAAGTC